AACAGTGCAACACAAGCCATGCAAACAAACAAAAATACCGAACAAAAAACAATAAATATGTTTTGCATAAGAAATGGAAATGGTTGACAGACTGTGGAGAATTTTATAAATAACATAACAACTGCACATATTGAACCATATTCATGTACAGTTAATTGTCTAATGAACTCTCTGGAGCAAAGTTGGATAAGTTTTTCTCTATAATGAACCAAAGAACATGGCAGATCAAGACATTTCTGGACATATATATGGATTATCATTTATGTGTGAGGATGTGCAGTTAACGTTTCAAAATATGAAACCAGAGAAATTTATCCTTCCATTTCTTGTGCACCCTTGCAGTAGGTAGAAGCATCATCAAATCACTTGATGAGTGATGAGTGACATGACTTGGTCACATGGTTTCTGTGACGTCTCATGTGACAACAACTTAGCATCATCCTTTTTTGGTTGATTTCCCTCAGCAGGGACCTTAAAGCGATGAGATTTGAAAAATTGTTTCTCAAGTGTTTGATGATGCTTCTGCATGACAAACATCAGTCAAAAATAACTGAAACAGAATGTACAACAGTGAAATGAATGAAATGAAAACAGCAAACGTCATTGACACCTGATGGGACACCATCACTGACTTACAGGCTGGATAATTGTAGGCAAAGTATTGGTGACCTTTGGGCAAATACCCTTCAGAAGGGTCATATATAGGGAATGGTCATATCTATATAAGGCTTGAACCACACCAAAGATGTACTTAGTGAATGCATCTTGTTTGTATACTCATGATGGAGAAATATCACTGGGCATCACCTCTATGATTAATTACAGGTCACTAATAAGATGATTTAATGTCAGCTATTATCCAATTTAATAAATAATAAATGAAATGGTTCAACATCGTCAATCTATGATTTACTGATGCTGCGCCCCTCATGGTTTATTCTCCCTGCAGTGTTTTATTGAATGATAAACAACTCCCACTCATTTATATCTTAAATATAAAAGATTGGGAGTTTTCATTTCATAGTTCTATATATTGCTTTGTCACTGCCCTGATAACTTTTTCTGACAATTTACCTCTCTTAAATAAAATTGAAAATAATTCATTCAGGACTTGACTATCAAATTTCCAACACAATTTCTTATAATGGTTATTTGCCAGCATCCTACTTGCACATGACACTCCTTACCATCCGTTACATAATCTCCTAAGAGATATCCCTTCCTGGTTGCAGGTATCAGGGACACTAAATGCTATAGAAAACAATTCACAATATTACCATGAATCATATGTACTGCCTGGCTATGCTACAAGAATATGTCAACTCATAATCATTACATCATCCTAAGCAGCTGATGTTGAGCACTTTATGCGTGCATATGACCTTAAGAATTAGACAAGCCTCAGGAATCTGACATCTTGACATAACGGTTTGTGGAAGACCCAGGTTTTCACCAGTACAAAATCTGTATTGATTATGGACTGGGTTACAAATGCCACATGCAGCCAATAACCTTTTCCACAGTTCTGTTTTTTTTAAATTATTTTTCTTTTTCCAACCACTTGAGAAAAGCAGGAAAAGAAAAGTAACTACTGTGTTCCTATAAAGATGTCAGTAATTGGTGCTGTTGAGGATTAAAGATGCTTCAGATAACCGTTATGAGTGGAACCTTCTGTACTTGGTGACAGATCATTCTGAAAAATTTATGTTACCAATCGTAAAAACCTATTTCTTTTACAATATGCTTGTATTCTATTTATTCATTGGACACACGAGGTGCAAGCTTCTTTTCAAACAACCAGGGCCATTACCACAGCACAGAGCTACTGTAATCTCTTGTTGTGCATAGTGTGCACTTGAGTATAGATATGCACACACACACACACACGCAGGCACGCACGCAGGCACGCACGCACACACACCAATTCTTGAGTACGAGTCTTGGGAAAAATTGCTTTTTCACATATTGCACGCAGTAAAAATACAATTTATTATTTTCGGTCAAAGAAAAGTAGACAACAAATTGGTGAATGAAAAATGAAGTTTGCGATAAAACATCACTAGAAATGCTGATTTACCATTTCAGTTGTATTTCCTGTAATGCTAGGCATTGTTTCATATGCAGGAATTAAAATTACGTATATTGTCACGTAAACTAAGTGGAAACAGCTATCAGTTGTTCACACACTTTCTACAAATCTGCCAGTGATTGTTTAGAAATACCCAATAGTATTACGAAAAAGAACTTTCATATTCTGCCAGATATTTGTTACGTTTGTCTCATTATTTCAATCCAGAAAACAACATGCTGACACATAACAACAAATATGACATGTATGATATAAGTATCCATTCTTTGACATTTAAGGTTTGTTTTAAGGCAGTACAATGCCAGTGCTATATCACTAGGTACTGCAATGCACCAATATTCTGATACATCGCTACAACCTCAGCGCTATATCACTAGGTACTGCAATGCACCAATATTCTGATACATCGCTACAACCTCAGCGCTATATCACTAGGTACTGCAATGCACCAATATTCTGATACATCGCTACAACCTCAGCGCTATATCACTAGGTACTGCAATGCACCAATATTCTGATACATCGCTACAACCTCAGCGCTATATCACTAGGTACTGCAATGTACCAATATTCTGATACATGACAACACCAGCACTATATCACTAGGTACAGCAATGTACCAATATTCTGATACATCGCTACAACCTCAGTGCTATATTACTAGGTACAGCAATGCACCAATATTCTGATACATCAAAACACCAGTGCCATATCACTAGGTATTGCCATGCACCAATATTCTGATACATCACAACACCAGCGCTCATATCATTAGGTACTGCAATGCACCAATATTCTGATACATCGCTTCAACCTCAGTGCTATATTACTAGGTACTGAAATGTACCAATATTCTGATACATCGCTACAACCTCAGCGCTATATCACTAGGTACTGCAATGTACCAATATTCTGATACATCACAGCACCAGCGCTTATATCACTAGACACTGCAATGCACCAATATTCTGATACATCGCTACAACCTCAGTGCTATATCACTAGGTGCTGCAATGTACCAATATTCTGATACATCACAACACCAGCGCTTATATCACTAGACACTGCAATGCACCAATATTCTGATACACAGCGGTAGAAACTAACTTTTTTGGTCCACTAGTCCTTATAATGATGACATATAGCAAAACCCTTAAAAATGGCAAATATCTACTAGTCCTTATGATACCTTAACTATTGGGCAGATTGGCAAGGCCTATAGGACTAGTGCCAATTTCTAACCCTGGATACATCAAAACACCAGTGCCATATCACTAGGTACTGCAATGCACCAATATTCTGATACATGACAACACCAGCACTATATCACTAGGTATTGCGATGCACCAATATTCTGATACATCACAACACCAGCGCTATATCATTAGGTACTGCAATGCACCAATATTCTGATACATCTCTACAACCTCAGTGCTATATCACTAAGTACTGCAGTGTACTAATATTCAAATACATCACAACACCAGTGCTATACCACTAGGTACTGCAATGCACCAATATTCTGATACAACCCAAGTGATATTTTTCCCTACAACAATTAAACATGAAATGAGAACAGAACCCTAATTTGAATGCAGTGTTCCCTCGCTCTTCAATATAGCGCTAACTTGGTTATAGTGCGCGGTAAAGCATGGCTCCCAAAATTTACTTACATTTTTAATAAACTCAAGTTTTCCAATGACATGATGTTTTCCCCATCTCAAAAAACATTATCAGCTGATCACTGCGATCACGTAAAACCGGAAATACCAGTCAACAAATCTGAACTGAAGTAGGCAATTTAATCCTAATATTATAATATCTGGTCATAAAAAAGTGTTCATTGTTTACATGGACTTATGTTTGTAATATATTTTATTAACTTTATTCAAAATTTAATTAAATAATGTTAACATTAATTTCGGCGAAATCGTGTGCGAAGTGATCGGTAGATTGCACAGCTCACCATTATTTACAGCAATTACGGTCAGATTACCGCTATTGACGCCTTGAAACGAAGTTTAGTTGCAAGATAATGATACATATATCATAAATGTCCCTACGATGACTGGTCAAATTGTTCCATATGTAAAAATATCCTGCATACCACATGTACCAAAGTGCTATGCTTATGGTACTTATAATTTTAAATAGATATCGTGAAAGCTGCAACTAAAATAACACGATATTGGAATATATTATTCCTGATAAAATAATTCAGATACAATTTCGTTTGACCATTGCATCAAAATTCTTTGAAGTTGTATTATTGGGTACTTTTTAACTGAATCCCCGATAGATTGGGAGGAAACGTGTGCACAGCTGATTGCCATTTCCGGCTTAGTTTACGAGAAAGCCTGCATGGTAATCTTAATCTCTGCATATAAAACAATGCCTTGGAGGGCAGGAAATGCAATTTAAATGGTAAATCATCATGTCTAGCGATGTTTTATATCAAATTTCATATTTTTATTGATCATGTTTGTATTACCTGTTCTTTCACCTAAATTCGCTGAAGGTCATCTACCCCCTACAACTCCACCTCAGTTAAACGGCTGATCGTCTATAAAACTCATCAATAATTTGGACCCCGAAGGTTGCGTTGTAGTGAGGGATCACTGTATTACAAAGTCAACCGAAACAATCTGCCAAATGTTATCCTGCTATTTTCTTGTATTTTATAGTTTACCTACACGTTATCATTATTTGTGCAAATGGTAAAAAAAGAAGTAATTTTTCCTGCTGTCAATAGATGAATGTCCCATGAGGTGAATAAGAGAACACAACATTCACAAATAAACCAATGCTGTTGAAAACAGAATCATGAGTTGAGGACAATGATGCAACAGGGCAACAACAGTTTTCATGTCCACCACAACATGACTACTTTCACCGAGCGAGCATCTCTCACCTCCCTGTTCATCCAACATGACCAATGTCTTGATGCCAGCATCCTTGCTCTATATATTGAGCAATTGAGCAAAAATAAGTTTGTGACATTAAAAAATATATCAAAAGTGACAATACAGTGTGAAAAGTTCAAATCATGGATGACTATTCAGGAAATTATGTCAACTTCAGAATTAATAATTTCAAACTTTACATTGTTTAAAAACCAATAACTAAAAATGGGAATAAGGTCACAATAAATTGGCATTTTAGATTTTCTTCCAAATTGTTTACAAAAGGTGGGAGGTGGGACAAAATCAGTTCTCACTATCCCTTCCTTTAAAATGATGGTGTCTTCCTGCAACAAGTCACTTTCCAGGTCACAGGACAGAATTTGAGGTTATAGGAATTTTGAATCACAGTTTTACCAAAAAAGAATTATTAAAACTACGGCCTATGACACATTTCTTGTAAATCTTGTTGGAAGACTGAATGGTTAGCAATCCTTCAGTTAATAATTGATAACAATGACATAATTTCCTTAACATTTTCATAATTTGAACTTCTACCCTCCTATTCCAATAACACAACTAAACAGAAATTGGTGACTTGCTATCAAAATGTTTAAGCTAAAACACAAATAAACTGAAGAACAGTATATAAAAAAAAGTCCTGTGTGTACTACTCCATGCAAGGTAAATGCCTACCTCCTTGTTCATCCAACATGACAAGGGTCATGATACCAGCCTCCTTGCTCTATTACAGAGTGCACAAACAAACAGGTCTTGGTGTTAATGTCAACATCATTCGGGCACATCTAATGTCAGATGAGGTGAAATGGGGTTTAACGTCATGTCCAAGATTATTGCACTTACACAGTGACTTGCATGTACGTGTGTGTGTGTGGCTGCTTGTACATGTCCGGACAGATGCTGATTTTTGTGCTAGCCCCTGAGATACCATGCCGCAGTTTAACATGACTATCCCACTCAGACACAGTAGACTTCAAGACGACCAGTCCTTGTTTTAGCCCCTTAATGCCAAACACCAGACAGGGTAACAACAAGTACCATCTTTTAACGTCTTTTGGTATGTCCGGCCGGTGATCTAACTCCGGACCTTCGGCTCTCCGGGCAGACGCTCTACCACTAGACCACGGAAGCGGTCTGCACATTTAATGACTTTGAACATATGGCATTCATACATAGGTATATACTGCACATTGCACTCCGATTTTACCACCAAAGACAACAGATTCTCAACAATATTATGGTATTCTGTGTAATCGGGCTTTGAGCAGGCAAACCATTTGTCTGTAGTGCATGTAGCAGTTCATTTGGGGCAATCATCCCTAGGTGGTGAGCGAGAATGTTCTGCTGCTTTAGGTACACACTGCCCATTTGTAGTGAGTGAGTATGGTTTTACGCCGCTTTTAGCAATATTCCAGCAATATCACGGCGGGGGACACCAGAAATGGGCTTCACACATTGTACCCATGTCGGGAATCGAACCCGGGTCTTCGGCGTGACGAGCGAACGCTTTAACCACTAGGCTACCCGACCGCCCCGCCCATTTGTAAAAGGTGTAATGGTTCCCAGACAGCATAGCCAATTATTATGGATAGCAATTCATATAATAAGTACAAGATATACTTTATTTATAAGTAATCATAACCATGTATTTCTAATATATAATTGTAAGCTCAGAATCTCTGCTAAGTGATTATCCATACCTCCTCGCACATCTGAAGCATACGCCTCGTACTTTCCAGCGACTGAAAGAAACAAGCATAATGGTTACGAATATTGTCTCAGCAAAAAGATCATGCAGGATCACTGTACAAACAAGCTGCTTGTTAATATAACAACATTTTATGCACAAACATGATACATCTTGAATAGTACAAAACAGACAGGGAATTTAGGAATATTATTTAACCTGTTTAATTTCTTAGGATTTTAATACACTCAGCAGTTTTCTAACTATATGACGGCGGTCTGTAAATAATGAAGTCTGGACCAGAAAATCTAGTGTCTGACATTATGGGCATCAATCTACGCAGTGTGCCTGACCCCCCGCTACCGTTACTTGCCCCTTACTTTGCTGGAGACCAATTCTAACACGGATCAGTGGTCATGTGATAATGTTAAGACATCTCCATTAAGTCTAACAATTTATCAAATGGTGAAAAGCAAATCTGTGTTTTAGTATTATTTATCCATTTCATAACTGCAGTTATATTGTTCAACATTCAATTAAATATAGCTTATTTCCTTATCAGCGAAATCGTGTGGGAACCAATCAGCAGATCACACCAACTCAGTGTTACTTAGAGCAGCACTGACCAGACTCTGGTTATTGGTGCATTGAAATTATATCTGTCACAGAATGAATAGCTTATTTGCCGAAATTTAAAAGTCATGGTTGTTGTCCTTTGAAATCATATGTTCATCTGTTGTTTAAAGGCATTTCTTATCATGCATTCATCCACTGGTTGATAGCAAGTATACCTTAGTATACCTTTAACAATACCAAAGCTGGTCTGGCTTAGCGAACTAGTGTCCATTTCAATCCCTGTATTATGCCAAATGATAATTAATAAATCAGGGATGCATTTCTGTTTTTGATACATGCTGCAAAAAAGCAACAAGAATAACAAGTCAGTGTGTTTTATTTTTGAACAAAAAAGGTTTGCAGATAATTTATAAATTGGTTTTCGTTCTTTGCACGAAATAGTCACAAAGTAATGATGTGGGGAAGTGTTTACTGAATCCCCGGTAGTGGAGCAACTGGAGCACATGAGCAAAGGTAAAACATACATCAATGTGATTGCTATTTTCCAATTGTTACCAAATGAGAAAATCACACAGGACAATATTGAATACAGCACAAAAAATCTTGGGAAATACTATTAAACTTTGAAATTTGTAATCAACTTATCTTGTGACTATTTTTGAAAACGTTTTAGTTTCAACAATATTTGAACTAAGTTCATTTTCTCTCACTTGATCTTTGATGTGCATGGTCTTAATAAGCTCCCTCGCTTGTTTGTCAACTTTCTAAGTGCCCAAGGCACGTAATACAGCAAAAACAGTATCAAGGACACTATAGTCCATTTGTTTTTAATGGTATGTAACCTTGACCTTCTCTCAAAGAGAGAAATCACAGATAAAGTAAAACTTAAATGGCATGTCATGACTTGTGGAATGTTCCAGTTTTCTTGAATGACCAGTGTTCACTTGGATAACTGGTGTGAGACGTCAGCACAAATGGCTTGAGAACTTCAGAGGTAAGAGCAGTCAACTGCTAGGTTGAATAAGAATGAAACCTTTCTGGGGTTCAATTAATTGATACTTAATTTCAGTGTCTGTGAGAGGAATGGACAGGCATTGTCATGATAGTGCAATAAACATGTCAAACTTGACATTTCCAGACTGGTCCAGTTGTCAAGTGCAAGCAACTAGAAACGATGTCTGGGTTCTGATCATGCTCCACCAAGTCCTTGGACGATCTATTTTAACAAACAAGTTTCCACCAGAAAGGTATCAGCCTTTATATACAAAAACCAAAACCGCCATCTCTCTGTCTTATTTCCATTCAATTTAGAGATTTGAACATTGTAAAGTGTTGGCCTACTTGTGAGAAAGTTTTGGTGAAATATCACAACTATCAAGTTTTTTTCAGAATGATATGGCTAACAAGAAGGTCAATATCACTTCAGCATCAAAGAAGAAAGCCAAGATGAAAAAGGATTGCCATGTCTGTGGTTGTGCAGGATTTTTTAAAAACACTCTAAAAAAATTATCTTTGAAAGTTGAAAGGCTCCACCAAAAAAATACACATCTTGTGTATGTAAAGTTTGTTTGAAACATGATCAAGATCTTCCTAAGTATTGAAGAAACAAATGTCCACTGCAGTGACCTTAGCCTTAGAAACTAGTCATATAATTGGTGCATAATTTTGCAAAATATATACACAAACATTATGTATCAAGTGTGTGGTATTCAGTGCATATCATCAAGTCTTCTCGATTAATTGTCAAAAGGCCTTGACCTTTGAGGCATAAGATGAACTATTAGACAAGAGTTGTTCACAATTCAAACAATAGTGCCCCTATTACATAATAGCCATAACAACTCATGACCTAGGCCTGTGTGGATCTGATGAGGAATCTCATGCAGATCTAATGCTCCCTGAGACAGTGGTGAGGAGGCCATCTTGTGCAGATCTGACTGTAGGTGCCCGTTACTCCCTCCACCGGTGTAATCCACACCAACGCAGAGCATAGAGTCTTTGCAAACAGACCATATCTGAGGCATGTTGAAATCCACATCACAAGTGAGCATTCTGTCCTGTAGTCTGGTGACAACTCCTGTCACTGATGGTAGTACGTGACTTGTCCTGAGTGAGATGGACCCCATCATCCTGTTCCGAAACACCCATCCCAGCTCCTGACTCACCCCTCCATGCGCAGCTTGGTAGGGCAATCTGTCCCATGGAGTACGGAGGTGCCCTTTCTCCCTTAAACACCACCATCTCCGCAAAGATACTGTCCAACTGATGGCTGAACATGGCTCGCGTGTCTTCTTGTTGTTCCTTGAAAAAGTCTCTCAACATGAAGAAGGAGAGTTGAGAAGTGGACTAGGTATGGGAAAGGGCAGTCGAAATTCTCTGGTGGATCCTTCTGCTGTTTCTTAGGGGAGTGGACTTGGCAATGGAGCATGCAACTACTTAGCGCATGCAGGTGGGATGATGCCATCTTGGAAACCCACCAATACGTCCACCACTCAGCTAGTTAAGTTCCTTCAACCAGATAATATAAGGAACAACTTAACTTCTCAGATAACTTCTCTTATGATTTAACAATGGGCAACAACTAAGCGGAGGAGGTCATGTCAGTGTCAGTGAATTCAGAGTAACTGTTAATGAGTTAATCAAAACAAAGCACGTGTGGGTTCTTGAGCCAATCAGATGTGAGCTTTCTAAAATGATACTGCTTTGTTTCTTTAACATTTACATATGCGTAGAATTATACATATTTTAGAAAGTCAATTCTACCTTACTTTCTACAATGGTATGGTAAAAGACAAAACTTGAACCAACAAGGTGCAAACAATACAACTATTGGCGCCAGTATGTTGTCTTGGTAGTACTGTCCAGTGACCCCTTCCAGGGACAACATGCAGTGGCAATCTGGCAGTCTTGGTGATTCCACTGCATATCATTACAGATCCACCCCCAAATCTGTCATGTTGCCTCACACTGATGGTCACATTCGTTACGACATGTGTCGTGATCCCACTGCATATCATTACAGATCCACCCCCAAATCTGTCATGTTGCCTCACACTGATGGTCACATTCGTTACGACATGTGTCGTGATCCCACCGCATATCATGACAGATCCTTCCCCCAAATCTGTCATGTTGCCTCACACTGATGGTCACATTCGTTACGACATGTGTCGTGATCCCACCGCATTTCATGACAGATCCTCCCCCAAATCTGTCATGTTGCCTCACACTGATGGTCACATTCGTTACGACATGTGTCGTGATCCCACCGCATATCATGACAGATCCACCCCCAAATCTGTCATGTTGCCTCAGACTGATGGTCACATTCGTTACGACATGTGTCGTGATCCCACTGCATATCATTACAGATCCTCCCCCAAATCTGTCATGTTGCCTCACACTGATGGTCATATTCGTTACGACATGTGTCGTGATCCCACCGCATATCATTACAGATCCTCCCCCAAATCTGTCATGTTGCCTCACACTGACGGTCACATTGGTTACGACATCTCTAGACACGTCCATGTCTATCCAGAAAGACAAACTAAATCCTGACTCGTCTGAGAACATTACACAAGACCATCGACAATTCCCCAGGTTTCTACGCACTAAACACCATTGGCGTCTGGCTAGAATGCGACGATTTGTTAACAGTGGTACAAGACTTGGTGTCTGAGCATGCAGATATATTTTTACTTGTTTGGATTTTTATTCATCGATCATTTACATTTTGTGTCTGCAGAAACCTGTTCCAAAGTCTGCAAATCACAGACTTGGACACATTGAACACTTTACTTCAAGTTTGAAGTATGCCAATATCCGTTTGGTGTTCATGTTGTAAGTGATGCAATCCCAATCATACCTAATGCATTTAAGCAAGAGAAGAGAGCTTACGTGCTACTGTGGATAATGAAATCAACAATACCAATGGCTCAGAGTGATTTGATGACCTCAACCTCTCACTGAAGGGTTACAACAGGACAAAGACATCGATATCCACCGCAATGGTATATACTTGTTGTGAATAAATAATATAGGAAACTTGTCATGGAATCTCAAACTATATCCAAAGGCATCGGTTCACCACCAGACCTATCTGTATGCCAAGTTTGGTGAAGAAATATTGTATGGTTTTCAAGATCTGCGACATCCTGCATGGATGGAGAGCAGACAGATGAATGGACGGTGAATACAACCCCCCCCTCCCAACCCATCCTCCTCCTTCTCTCTCTCCCCCCTTGAGTTTCTGGGATTTTCTGCGAGAATGTGGGACCCCTGAAACTTTTTGAGGACTGGGCCAGCTGTACCCCCTTTTAACGTATGAACATCATGCATATCTTAATAAATAGCTGAAATATACAGTTAGTATCGAATAACATTTTGCTCCATAATTATTGATACTTACGATAAATGCAACTGCAACAGTGCAATATGAGCCACCAATCATTGATTATTAATGAAAGTGGAACACCA